TCCTGACCTACAAAAAGGTAGCAATGTTTCAAATACATCATAAATATGTGCTACTTAAACTGGTACATCTTTGGTAATTTGTTACACAGCAATAGAAATATATTCATCAAGATTTAAGGAAGTAGGATGCAAATAAGCCACTATTACCAAAATTAATGATAGGTCTCCTATTGTCCTAAGACAGCTATTGTTCACTTCCTGCTACTAATAGTGTCTTGGTAAACTGAAAAAGAACTTTAAAAAATTCATGGGAACATTTTGATTCTGTCTCCATTTAAGAAAAACATGAGGGGCTAGGATTGTGGCTCAGCAGTAGAGCGCTTGCCTAGCACGGGAAGGACCCGGGTTCGATCCTCAGCACCACATAAAAATAAAGGCATTGTGTTGTGTCCATCTACATCTAAAAAATAAATATTTTTTAAAAAATGACTATATATGAACTCTGGTTTCTAAAACATGCTTACTATGAATAAGCTTGAAACTTTTAAAAGATGACTTTGGATATTATAAATGATGAATTATGCCTAACAATGCCTGAAGGAGAAAGAAAGGCATAGGTAGGAGTTCATGAAGACTTGTTTTGTGTATGACTCCCATGCTGTGATTTTTCCCTGTGTACATTAATAAATTTATCATGCTTTCTCTTAGGAACCTGTCTTCTGTTATGGGGAGCGTCAGCCACAACCCTTCACAGGGTCTTGGGTTTGGCCTTTCGCCAACACTATTACCCACTTTGGTAAACCATCATAAAATTCAAGATGGATCAGCTACCAGATTTCCTTGAAAATCTACCCAAAACCTGCCTGGATGAGTATAATCCAGCAAAGGAATTCTAAGTTCTGGGGAAAAAATGAGCAAAATAAACACTCTTATTTATTTATTTAGTGATCAATAGCCAAAAAGGACTCTCGTAGCTTTTGTCTCAAAGATGGTTTAAAAAAAAAAATCTTGTGGAGTCAGAGAGAGGACAGGTTCTTCTCCTTTGCCCATTTTATGAATGTCAAAGCCCAGAATGGTCTTTTGGCTCCTAGTCTATCTGCTGTTTCAACTTCTTCCTACATCATATTTACCAGGTCTGAATGATTTAAGAATGTGAAGATCTTTAAAACTGCTAGAGGTTAAATGGGAACACACAGTTAAAACCAATCCTGTGGAAGCAAATATGACTGTTTAAAAAAATTAATTGGAAACTGGTCATGGTGGCACACAGGCACTTCATCTTCTGCCTACATCATAGACACTTCCACAATCCGCCAGATATTTGATACTTCAGTGTGATTCAGCCCAGGCCCTGACACACAGCAGAGCTGATGGCTGTGCTGCAGCCATGATGTCCTTGTTCTCAAGGCCTCAAGGAAGAAGTGATAAACCACTACTCTGTGCCTACTAGGTCTGCAAGTATGACCAGTTACCATGAGTTACATTTGAATGCATCCAATTTTTTATTGGTACTAGGGATTTAACCCAGGGGTGCTGAGCCACTGTCTATATCCCCAGTCCTTTTTTATTTTTATTTTGTATTTTGAGACAGGGTCTTGCTAAGTTGCTAGGGTCCTCACAAAATTGCTGAAGCTGGTCTCAAAATTGTAATCCTTCTGCCCCAGCCTCCCAAAATCCTGGGATTGCAGGTGTGTGCCACTATGACCAGTTTCCAATCAATTTTTTTAAACAGTCATATTTGCTTTATTTTGGTTAAAGTAAAAATTAGCTTTTTCAATTAATTTTTAATCATTTTGTATTTACTACATTCCAAGTCTGAGAAAATCTGGTTACATAATTTAATGATTATGAAGTCTATAAGTTTTTCTTTTAAAAATTAATGTGGGGCTGAGGTA